CAAAGTGAATTAAGCAAAGCCAACAAATGCAAATAAAAAACCCCCCTGGCCACGCCCCAAAAATAAAGTTAAAATTCACTTTGTTTATTTTGCATAATGATAAATGAATACAATTTCAAGATTTACAAAGCGCATACAAAAAAATAAAACTCAGGCAGATTTATTTTGATTTTTATTATTTCTTCTTATTTTTTTTATAACGACTTTAATTAATTTGTTGGGTTTTTTTTATGGTCTGGCAACGCTTTACATGCATAAAAACAATACCGGTTTGGCTGTTGATTTTTACGTTGTTATTTCTTTTTTTTTTTGGTAGTTTTACACAATTAATTTCAATTTGGATTAACTTTGTCATTGACACGTCGCTACGCAGACCCAGGGGCAAAAAAAAAAAACAAAAACAAAATAAACTACAGCAAAAATTACCATGCTGCATGCAAAATATTCCCAGTTTCTACCTATATATATTCATGTGTGTGCGTGTGTGTATATGCATATCTGTAATCATATTCAACTTTCACTTTCGTAAGCAAAAGCTGCAAATATTGTGATCTGAGGTTGATTATCAATGCCTGCGAGCCACAGTCAAATGACAATTGTGATTGTCAACAGGTGGCAACGCCCAAAAAGAAATCACATTATTTGGCGAGGGTATATCATATATATGTATCCAATATATGCTAAACCTTAAAAATTTGTTTATATGTCTAGTTTTGAGCTAGTGAATCAAATTATCAAGGAACTGAACTAATTCATTTTATGGAGTATGAATATACGGTTTAGGAATGGAATATATGGCATATGGTATATGATATGGGGATACTTCATATTTTATTTAAGTATATATATAGATATTTTAGGCATGTATACATCCATTAATGGATTATTAGTGAAAGTATCGTTGGGCTTAATTAGTCTTATATATACAATAATATATATGTATATTTAGGTTATTTAGTCGTTGACTCTACAAATATAATTCTTTTTCCATTCTGAACCATAAAGTATATATACATATATATACTTTGAAATCATTTTTCAATCTTTGTGTTTTTTTAAAGATGATTTATTTTGTTTTTGGAAATTGCGTAGGCCTCAACACACTCAGCCACCCTAGCTGCCCGTGCCTCCCCCTTCCTTATATCGTATCCTAAATAAATATAAGCGTGGGCGTTCTTTAGATTTATGCCTAAGATGTTTCTTTTCACAGCAATTCTGTTTTGTCGGTCATTTTTTTTTTTAATTTCTGGAAATTAAAAATGTTTTACTAGAAACGCAAACGCCTGCAATTTGTTGTCACAGTGAAGCTTGTCTAAAGGTAGCTCCAAGTATATTTCTGTGACTTCCACTTTTATCTCCAATTTCGAAACTTACCATTGATAATTATGCTTATCAAATGTATAGATAGTCCAATTACAGATAAGCTTTCAGACCTTATGTCGCTCTATGTGCTACATTCAAGAACCTTTTTTTATGCATTGGTAAATGTTACTCAAAGTGTGGACTTTGTGCTGGGGAAACTTATTCGTCAGCCATTAGGGTATTCTTATCTGGCAATAGAGCTTTTTATTGGAGGGAATACTGTATTATATTAGTATGGTTTCGCGTCTATTGAATATTAATGTTAAGCAATAATTTATTATATTTTTAAGGCTTGGCTCCAAGCTTGAATTGCTAATTTAAACAAGATTGAAGCCAGAAAACATTTTAATAATAATCAAGCTGTAAAACGTGTTATATGTATGTAGTCTAAAGAGCGAGCGAATAAAGTAAAAGTCATTTGAGGATCATACAAAAATTGTTTATTGTTATTGGAATTTGAAGAAAACAATTTTTGTTTTAACGTGATATTTAAAAAAATATATATATTAATTTCCTTAATTAAAAGAAAAATAATAAGCTCAAGAAATAAAATGCAATTGTTTTGCTGCCTGCCCAGCCTGATCAATTTTGAATCTTTTTACCACGCTTTGCACTACTCAACACTGTTAGCATTGTCTCTTACAACACTGGCGCTGTTTTGGCGTTGCTTTCGTTTGCTGCTTTTAGAGTTGAGAAAAAAAGATATTAATAAATTATCTTATTATATTTTCTTTGGAATTGTCAAACTCTTTGTTTATATTTGATCAACACATTTATTTTCCATAAAATATAGCTTAATTATTAAGGACACAAATATATAAAGTAAATTGTCGACTATGTATGTGTAATTGTGTATGTAAATGTAAGTACAAATATTGCTTACATCTAATTACAATAACGTTTATAATTAAAATCACAATATAATCGCTCTTTCGAAGAGGTTTTTTACTCCTCTTCTTCTTCTGTTTTTCATGATTTTCATGTTTCACATTTGCGTGTTTGTCTTTGTATAGAAGGAATCAAGCATCAATGAACCGAGTGAAGCAACCGACGAACAAACGGGCACACTGCCAAAAGTGTTGAAACATTCATTTTCTGCTGCTTTTGGCAAGTGTGCCCTAATTTTTTTTTTTTTTTTTTGTTTTGTTATTGAGCACGCTCAGCACTCATTCACTCACATTCTCTTCAGCTGCTGTAGCTGCTGCTGCTGTTGTTGTTTATAGAACGGTCATGGCGATGAACATGAGCAAGACGATGATGAGCCAAGGGCAAATGAACATTAGGCAGGCCACCTCAAACATATTTGCGCTGTAGTTGCTGCCTCCTCTTTGCTCTTTATTCTATTTTGTTTTTGTTTTTGTGTTGAATATAGATCTCAGGTGGTGGACAACTTGTTGCTCTGCTTGCACTTGTAGTGGTAGTTGCAGTTGCTCTTTGCTGTTGATGCTGCTGCTATTGCTGCTGTAGCTGCTGTTGTTGCTATTGTCACACAGTTTATACGCTGTTTGCTAGCCTTTTTTTTCGCACAACTATTACGGTTGCTTGTTGCCGTTGTTTCTGTTTTGGTTTTTTGCTTCTGTTGCGTCTGCTGCCATAACACAACGACCGTACGACGTTCACTGTCACACTGAACGGCTAACCGCTTCGAATGTCTGCTGCCTTCACTGCCTTTGCTTTGCTTTGCTTCGCATCGCCGGTTTGTTTGCCTTCTTATGTGTGCGTGTGTGTGTATGTGTATGTTTGTTGGCAATCGTCAATCAGCCTCTCTCGTTCAGCACTCGACGCTGTTTCTTACGCTCCGATCGGTGCTGTTACTGCTCTCTCTGTCAATCTCGCTCTCTTTGTGTCACTCTCTGTGTCTGCCGACAGCGCTTATAAATCCGCTTACCTTTGCAATTGGAGCTGGCGCTGGTGCTGGTGGAGGGTACAGCAATTGCGTTTTATTTCATTGACCCCGGGGCAAATGATGATTTTGCTCGTTGCTGCATTCCGCATGAACAAGCACAATTCTAACAGAACTAATCGAAGCTTGAAGAGCGCACTTATCAGTGAGAAGCTGAGCTTTGACTTACAGTGCAATGCAATCGTAAAAGCTGCCACCGAATCGCATAGAGAGGTGCTTCAAAACTGAAAGCTTAGAATAAAATAGCTTTTTCTTCCCAATCTTTTAATAAGACATCAGCTCGATGTAATGTGTATCAGGTCCAAGTGGCAGATTTTTCAAGGAGCTGGAAATTTGAAATACTGAAAAGCCAAAAGGGATGTTCCAAAAGTGATAAATTAGGAAAAATTTGTTAAAATCGTTTTCCAAGACATATATACTTTTGTCTGAGATGCTAAAACTAAACTGAAAATATTTGTGTGTGTCAGGTACTTACATAATTTTGAATAGGTAAATGTTTTAAAACCAAAGGTGTAAATAGATTTATTATATATACCTTAGACACACTGCATTGCATACATTTCTCTAAAGTTGATTAAAACTTTTCCATTGACGAAACGCTTATCTGTTCGACCTTTACAGAACTGATTCGATTGTAATACACTATGAGGGCCATATGGAAAATTACAGTCAACCTGTTTTGGAGTTGGTTTTCTCTCTCTTTTGCTCTTTCCCTTCGTTCATAGCTCTTCAATTCGATATGCATTGTCATTAATAAAGACCGCAAGCACCAACGATCTATGCCTAATCTTATCAGGGCTCTCTTTAGCCACACAAAATGTAATACACATGTCCCCAGCTACTTCAGAAATTGGCAATTGTGCTAAAAATATTGTATGACCCATAATATAAATATAATAAAAGTAATATATGTGTATATGATCGTATCAAGTCGCTTGTATATTGAGGGACTTTTCTGTTTGTACAATTACAAATTGATTGGCTTAATTAAAAAAAAAAAAACTTTAACTTCGACTGCTTATTAAATCTATTTATATTCTTGTTTCATTGCAGGTATGTTTGTGACTCATGTGTTTTACTATAATTAAATAGATAGATGAGTGTAAGTAATAAGTATCAATTATATAAAATGGAATGTGGGGATACATATATCAATGTAGACATTTATAGAATATATACAAAAAATAGAAAATATACATAAATATATAATGATTGAAAATTGCTAAGCCCATATACGTTTTCCTCAGTATATGAAGTTTTATATAACTGTCGTGGAGCTTGACAATAGAATTCTAATAAGAATTTCATAGGAATGCGTTGCATGAAATTGAATACCGTCAATATATAGAGAAACAAACGTGCCTATATCACGAATAATCTCCTATATACATATATTTTTGCGATATACAGCTACAACTGATTAAAGTGCTTTTCCAATTGCCCAACTGTCCAAACACTCTGTACACTTTCTTTTGTTTATGTTTTGCGACCTATGTAGGTCATGTGCCAGTTCTGCCAAACACAGAGTGAGAGAGAGAGAGAGATAGAGAGGGACTGATAGGGGTTTAAGGAGAGCAACAGCAGATGCAAGGAAACGCATGCAATTAACATAGTTCACTCAAGTAAAAAGATGAAGGAGCAGACAAGTGGACGAGTGTCCTTAGCCTATGCCGTTGATTCGGGTCCAGTGTCCTTCCCAACAGTACTTAACTCGTGGCTTACGACATTGATTAGACAGAGCCTCGAGCCGAGTGACTGTGATTAAATATTTACATTTATTATTTGTTTTGTCATTTCTTTTTGTTTTTGTGGTCCTCGCACAAGGTCCTTAAAATTGTGCGCCTCGTTGATTATTTATAAATTGGCGTAATTAGTTAGACAGTCAGCGAACCATCGACAACGACCCAATCAAAATTAGGACAATGAGCGCCAGAGAGGCAGAGAGAGAGAGAGAGAGAGAAAATAAGAATTCACTGCTCTCTCACATCGCTCTCAAAGCGTGCAGCGTTCATTTCTGCAAGGCAGCAGCAGCTAGCACACATACACACACACACACACACGCACACCCTCTCTCACGCTCTGTCTGCTTCGCTAGCTGTCTGTCTATTGTTGTGATTGCTGCCAGTTCACCACTCACACAACGCACTTCACCTCACCTTACCATAGCTCACCACTTGTTTAGCAGCGATGACCCAGCCACATTTGTTTGTATTTGTATTTATGCTAAGCATATGCGCAGGCGCCTTTTGCAGCAGTAGAGCATAGTATGTGTGTGTGTGTGTGTATATGTAGTAAATCGTTTAACGTGCTCTCTGTATTTATATGTGTGTGTATACGTGCGCGAGAGAGCGCGGAGCCTAGTGGCATGGGCTAATTAGTTTGTGTGGCAGCACTGCTTGGGAACGGGCAACCACCCACACACACACACACACACACATGAGCACGCACTTTGCCTGGTCGCTTTTGCCTAATCAAAGGCAATTGCAACATAAACTTTTGCGCGCGCTCGCTCTGCCGCTCTCACGCTCTCGCTCACGTGGCAGAAATGAACTTGCAGCGAGCGAGAGAGAGAACTCGTATATGTGTCTGTGTGTGTGTGTCTGTGCTGCTGCTGCTTGCGCTCATCTGCATGACCGATGAACGCGCCAAACGGGTAAAACACAAAAAAGCTACCCTCAGAGTGCTGCTGCGGCTGTCAATCTATACTTTGGCTTCTTTCTAACCAACAAACAACACACAGGCAAAGCAATTCTGTGTGAATAAGTGAAAAGATAATTTATAGATAAATATAAATATATTTAAATTTCAAATAGCGAAACACAAAAAAAAAAAAATAAAAATAAAATTCGCTAGTTAACGCTGCCGCGTCTTATCTCGCGCCCCTGCAGCAAGCAGTAGCAGCTCGTCTCTGTGTGTATGAGTGTGTGTGTGTGTGTGTGCGCGTTTTTTCACTGGTATTAGTGGCAAATGCGGAAGTTGTCGTCGCTGCCATCGTCAGTCTTCGTCGGACTTCGCAAGTGTGCAACGCAGTTGCTTACATCAAATCAAAAAAAATACAAAATAAAAAGCAAAGTGCAAAGTAATTTGTGTTACATAAAATACAAATAAAAATAGAAAATCAAATTAAATATAATTAGAGCTGTGCAATTTTTTTGTTATTATTATAAAACGTACGAATCGCAATCAAAATTCATTAGCAAACGTCTCAGCCCTAAAACTCGACCAGGCGTCCGTTTCCACTCTCACGCGTTCGCTCTTCGCGCTCTCTCTCTCTCTCTCTATCCCTCACTCGCTCTCGCTCTCCTCCACACACAGTGTACGTGTGTGTGTGTGTGTGTGCGTCTGTGTTGCAGTAATTAAACGTGCGTGCAGCCAGCTGCCCCTTGTGCTTCCCCCTTGCTCCATATTATCTCGCCCCCCACCGCTCCATCACACTACAGTTACTTTGGCAGTTCTCTAACTGTTTCGCGCCTATTTCGCCTACTCGTTTCTATTCCCGTTCGTCGTGTGGAGCAAGCAACAAAAATTTCATTCATGGAAAACAAAAACAATCTAGAAATTGCCTTTAATAACGGAAATATATTTATTAAAAGGTAACGAAAATTCATTTTTATTGTTCGAAATTCAAGTTTTTTTCTTTTGATTTTCAATTGTTTGACTAAATTCTGATACATATTTATCAACATATCAGAAACCTCGACATAACATTCCTTATCTTTAATCCCAAATCTCTCTACATTCATATGCAAATTGTATATAAGAAGTCCATTCAAGGCTACGCATGCGCTCTATTTTAGCAGTTTTATTTTAAGGGAGAATTTGTAGTGTTATATAACAGTTGTTAAGGTCAAAGTGAAAGTGATTTAGCTGAAGGTCTAACTAAGCATTTTAATCGCACCTCATTTGCGAGCTAGTTATTCTGGTATTTTTTAAATTGACATCAACTTGGCTCAAGGCTCAGAAAAATGAATGTTAAGTGCTTTGTTAAGTGATATTTAATGCGGACTTATATTTAGTTTTGACTAGTAATAGTTCAAGGGTTTTCTTTTTTTTTGACATAACATTTTAAGTGATAAATATTAAAATAAACAAAATGAATCAAAAATGAATCGAAAAAATTGAACAAAAAAAACTTATAATAATAATAATAAAAAAAAATTAAACAAATGAAAGGATAACATTAAATTCAAAAATAAAAATAAAATAAAATCAAAATTAAATTAATTTAAATTTGTTAAGTATTTTAATGTGTCAAGGCATCTTCCCAAATAAAGAATCACAATATATATTTATAACGAGGCTTTCCCTTTTTGAACTGAATCGTTTCATCATATTGAACAAGTTCCCAAGACAACATTCGGAACCATCGCTGTTATTGAGCGTTTAGCGGTTTTTCTTCAAAACCAAAAATCGATTATTCTTGCTACAATTCCTTCTCATGTCCAAACTGGCAAACTAGTTCAGTTCCCCCAAATTGTAAGTGCTATCATTAACATGTTTGGCAGAGCCCATAAAAATCAACATATGAACACGCCTCTACACAAACAACCCCTGAAATTAATCCATATATAAACTCTTGCAGAGCATGCGATGTTTATCTCCAACATACACAATAATCACGCGTCCAAATTCGAAGTTTTTGGCAACGTCTTCCTGCTAGATAAAGCCAGGCACAGAAGTTGATAGTGGGATAGCGAAAAGCAGAAACAATAGTCCAATGCCATTTGGTATGTGAGTGTCCTTAACGTCCGAAATAGCCTTCGTCAATCAAATGGCCTTTTGAATAGCTCGCGATAAACCCCCCACAAAAGTCGCCTCATCAAATTGCTTTTCCAATAATTTCGCTTGAACTTGTTGGGATTTCCATGAATGTATGTATGTAGATGTGGATACATAGTACATAGGGTGTACGACACAGGTATGCCAGGGTCATTGCATCAATTGAACTGTGCAACATGCCTCTTCTGGCAGCATTTAAATCAACAATTCCTACTCGTATCACCTGAATTGTCTGTCCATTGATTTTGCTCAATTCTATTGATTGTCTCTGTCTCTGTCTCTATTTTACACACTCTCCATCTCGCTCGTTTTCTGTCTTGCTATTCATTCATTCAGCTTGGCTTTCTTATTCTATTTTTGTTTTGCATAAGTTAAGCATGTGGAATACCGTTTTTAGACAGCGAAATACCCTGGATAATTTACATATGCTATATTTTAGTTTATACAAGAAGCTAAAATTTGAAAATGCTTCATTGCATTCTTTATAATATGTAAATTTACTTTTGTCATGTTATCTTAAGAACACGCATACCAAATTATATAGCTCTAT